CTGTGAAATTGTAATCTTGTATCTAATCCTGCAAATATTAAATTTAATTGCAGACATAAAATCAAAGCAGTAATACGTATAAAAATGTATATTTAATTCTGCTATAAAACTTAAGAGCTAGCTCACTAGCAATTGCCAAGTGCGAACTACGAATTGCAACATCTGTACTTATTTTTTGTTTTGCATAATTTGGTTGCTCCTTGCATTAATTATTCACTTCAGAGTTTCTTTTCTCCTGCGCTTTTAATGAGCTGTTAATATTAACACACACACACAGCCCAGAAAAAAAATGAAATTAAAAATGATTATGCATAATTATGTAATTAACATTTAAACAAAAGAGGTTGTGGCTGTGCAACAGAAGCATTTAACAAATTGTGTACTCACCCTTTTCTCTCAGCATTTGGCAGCAGTTCCTTACAAAAAAACACACATTTAAATATGCATAGAGAATAAAAGGGTAGTGTTTCCTTTTGGTCTATAAATTTAAGAAAACTAAACGTAAAAACATATTTAAAAACAAAATTATAATTTGTTCTAATTATCTTGATAAACAAGGCTTTTACACTTGAAAAGTATTTTAAGTTTATAAAAAGTAAAAATTGATCGATAATAAATTAATTCGTTGATTAAATTACAAATTTATTAAATATAAGCAATACTATTCTTAAAGAGTGTCAGTTCTTCAGAAGCCAAAATTTGGCAGCAGCGTTCCATAACAGAGCTGTTTTTTAGGCGCATTTTAAAAAGTCATTTATCATGGCATTAGCGACACTGATTGAGTTTGTCCGCCCAGAAGAGTCGCACCCCGAACCTTGGGCATTATGGATACAGCTACAGATACAAATTTTCGAGGGCGGAGGATTCGAGGGGGTGTTAAGTGTTGTCAACTCAAGCAGATTTAATTTGCCATGTTTTTGCTTTGCTTTTTTCGTGCTGCCGCTCAAGTGCAACAATAAACAAGGCAAACAACTGTAAATGCAAATGTTGACATCACACCGACTGAAATGAAATAACAAAAAAATCGAACAAAAAAAAAAAAGAAATAAAAACAGGACGAAGCCGCGTGGCGGGGAATTTAAAGCGATTCGGTCCTTGGAGAATTGCGGCACATGTCGCTACGTCAGCGCAACCCTGGGAAAACTTGAACTTTTCACAACAGAAGATTAAGTTGTCCCAAGGGGAAAAAGGGGAAAACCGGGGCCGCCGCAATCTTGTCTGCGAAAATTGAAAATTGACCGTTTAATGTTGTCGGCTGGCAGCATTTCTTGTTAATGTTTAATGTTAATACTAATGTTGTTACTAATAAGTACTTGAAAAGCCGGGGGATGCGTGACAAGTGTTCTTGTCAAAGGGGGCGGCCGGAAAAAAAGGGAGAAAAGGGCGAAGTCAGACCCCCGGTAAATTAATTAGTTTTTCGGTCGCTATTGTCCTGATTTTTGTCGACGCCTTTGTGTGCGGCACTGAACAAACGCAGGATTTGATGATAATCCCTGAAAAATATTGTCGGTGGCGCAAATAATTTCTTAATTAATTTGCAGTTCAACTTGAACTGCAGCGAGTTATTTAGCAAGTTGTTAATAATATTGATTACCAACTGATGGAATCATTTAATAATACTAGACAATATTTTAATGGTTTTTTAAAAATTTGGGGTAATAATAAGCAAGTTGATTCTTCGTTAAAATCAAATCAACTAAAAATATTGAAATTAAAGCATTTGTATGCTCTTCTAATTGACTTACTTTCACATTATAATTGCATATTAAGTTGCAGGGCCAGAAATAGTAGTTGATAAGTTATCCGAGCTGCCTGCAAAAATAAGTCACTAATTTGGGGTAACCCTTTCTATCGTTTTTTCGTTGATCCTGCAGGTGTGGTACCAGAATCGACGGGCCAAGTGGCGGAAAACGGAGAAGTGCTGGGGCCACAGCACCAAAATGGCCGAGTACGGACTGTACGGGGCAATGGTGAGGCACTCGCTGCCCTTGCCGGAGACCATCATCAAGTCGGCCAAGGAGGACGAGTCGGTGGCCCCCTGGCTGCTCGGCATGCACAAGAAGTCGCTGGAGGCCGCCGAGCTGCTGAAGAGCGACGAAAGCGACCGGGAGACCCCCACTTCCGATGACACGAACACCAGCTACTCCGCCGGCAGCACCCACAACTCGCCGATCTCCAGTTTCTCGATCTCGCGGCTGCTCTTCGATGCCCCACCGCCGGCGGCGGGCTCCAAGGGGCACGGGCATGGGCACCATCACCACCAGAAGGGGCACCACCACCACGCCCATGTGCACGCCCAGGCGCAGGCGCACGCCCAAATGTTGTTGCACCACCAGCAACAGCAGCAGCAACAGCAGCAGCAGCAGCAACAGCACCATTTGCATGGCGCAGAGGTTTCCTTGCAGCAGCAGCAGGGATCCGCAGCAGGATCAGCGGCTGGGCCACCTGCCCACCATCCCTACAATCAGCAGCAGCACCTGCATCACCTGCAGCAACTGCAGCAGCAGCAGCAGCAACAGCAGCAGCAGCACAACCACCACCACCAGCACCACCAGGTGCACCACATGCACCACCACAATGCAGCGGGATACGCTGAGGCGGCGGTGGCCGCGGCAGCAGCCGCAGCAGCTGTTGCGGCCGCAGCAAATGCCCGGAACGCAGCAGCCGCCGCAGCAGTGGCAGTGGCCAATGCATCCGCATCAGCATCAGCATCCGCATCCGCATCCGTGACCATTGCCGAGTCCGAGGCGGAGGAGGAGCAGGACGACATCGAAGACATGGAACTGGACAAGGACTGCGAGGTGGAGGAGGAGGTGGAGCCCGTGGATAACGATCACAACAACGACAACGAAGGGGACGCAGACGCAGATCCCGAAATAGACATTTGCGACGACCACGACGAGGAGGTGCGTCTGCAGGAGCAGCTTCTCTTGAAAGTCAAACAGGAGCAGGCGCACCACGGACCCAGATGAAACATGTACATCGATGTGTTGTTCTAAGGACAACGATAAATATAAATATATATACAGATACAGGCTAAATGCAATGAACATTATTTCGAGCAGAAATGAAATGAGCTTTTTACACAGGGTTGCTGTGCTTTAACACACAAATACGCAACCCAGTGTAAAAGTCATATATAAATTAAACACATTACATTCATAACTAAAATAACAAAAAAACCTAAAATTAAAGCCAGCAAAACATTTTTTTTCATACACCTAAGAAGCACACGTAATTAATCTATATACATACAATAACATATAATCTCTCATTTTTTTTAGTGTAAATATTAATTTATTAAAAGATATAAAAGCAAACAACACAAGACATTAGCGCGTAAGAAGAGCTGCAACGACTTGCAACATTTTTAAAATATGCTAAATGTGATTTAATTTAGTTGTCCATTCAGAACAAGGCTTTTTATGGTTTAAGACAATTTTTTTTGCCTATTAAATTAAATACTTTTTTTTATATTGTACGTTCCTTCCTGTAAAAAAATGTACATACCAAATCCCCTTTTCAATCAATTCAATATATGCATTAATATGTCAGGACCTCAAATGTAACCCCCAGTCCACTGCCTCTCATCGTTTTTCTCATATTTTTTCTCCAGTTTTGTAAAACAAGAACAATGGATGCAAAAGTAACTGCAAATCGTGTAATTAATTAAACAAATAAAAAACAAAACAAATCCACATACAATACACATACTTATATATGAAAGTTAGATGAAATAAAATGGATGATATAAAAAAAAATGGTTTAGTGTAATTTTCTTTTGGTACTTCTTGTAGGTCACAGCAGTAGGTGTTGCCACCTTTTGATCAGACTGAAGAAAAGGACCAGAAAAGATGGAAAGTGTTTGAAAAAAAAATTACAAAAAATAAGCTAGAAGGTTTTTGAAAAAAATCATTTAAAAAAACCTAGATAATGTTTAAAAACGCCAAAAAAAAAAAAAAAATAATAATTTTTCGTTATTCATTATATGGAATTGTTGGTTTTTTTTAGATTTGTACTGGATTTTCTTCGTTTTCATAATTCAAGTTCGTTTCGATTATGCGCAGATGAATTTGAGGCACTTCATGGTTAATGCAAATTTTTCCCAGTAATTGTTAAATTAAAAAAAAACAGCTTATTTTTCAATTGGTGAAAATTTCTTAATTTGCCATACTTTGCAATGTCAACATAATTACAAGAAATGTTATTTTATCAATATAAAATTCTGAAAAAAGGGGGGTTTTAAAAAAATCATCAGTCTGAAATAGAATAATCGTTCGGTATTAAAAATGCACATTTAAAAATGTTTTTTTAAAAAGACTAGAAAATCATTTTACAGTTATTGACATTAAAATTATATTGACATCTGATGTTACTATTTGCTTTCTACTTTCAGTCTTACATTTTTTACTTGATATTTACGTTTTTACATGTCAACAAAATTTTACCTCGCACATTACATGTTTATTACATTGTGTAATGCAAGAGATGTAACGTAAGATTTAAGCCCGGCGTAAAATATTTTTGTAAGTTACAGGCTGTAACGCAGTAAATATGAAAAGTCACGTAAAAGTAACTAACTTCCGATGTATTATTTAAAAAGTAAAAATAATATTGGTGTTACTTACAGGCTGTAAATTAATTAACTTGAAATGTTATATACATGACACATATTTTTACCTCAAATTAAAATTGTCATGATTCAAGCAGTTTTATCATGAACTGCAGTATACATCAAACATAAAATTTGTAAATAAACTAGAGCAGTAATTGTTTACTTGTATTAGAATGCATTATTTTTAATTTAACTGAGAATTTAAGACTTAACCGCAAATTATAAGTTTCTGGCCAATATAATTTATTATTATTATTATTTTTTGATGGCCTAAAACTGAAAATGGTAAATTATAATTTGAAACCTACAACCTACAAATTTAACGCACAATTTTTTTCCGGACCGCATATTATATGACTACTCTTTAGTAAAAAATGATTTAATGTTTTAATCGTAAACATATGTTATGTTTACTATACATTATTAATTGAAAATAATGATCTTTAAAATGAATCAAATAAATTTTCTCTTCAGGATTTAACAACTTCAGGAATTTGAGTCCAGCAAGTACTCTTTCATGTCGTGATCCCCAGATGACTGCATAATACAATCTTCGCTCTCTTGGGCATCAACGACGAAGATACGCGAATCGGAGATGTCAATGGCGACGGTATCGTCCGGATTGTAGACTACTTCGCCATTTCCGCCGGTTAGGAGGATGATTTCCCCATCCTCGATGACTATCTCATGCATGTCAACCCTCTGCTCCTCCTTGTACTTCGGGGGATGCACTGTGTAAAGCTCGTGATTGCCATCCGGTTGTAGGATAAACATGTTCACCTCGGAATCCACGTATATGAGCTCATTATCATTTTCGTCCTTTGCCGGATTTATGGCTTCGTCGTTAATCATCCTGGCAGCGGCACTCTCCGAAGGCTTCTCTTCATCCTGGCTGTAGTTTGGCTTTTCCGAATTCTCCGCGGCATCAGTTACCACATTTTCTCTCAACTCCCTAAATATAAAAAACACAAACTCAAATAAAAAATGCAATTGGTAAAAATTCTAAATAATATGTTTTTGGTTTTCGAGTAATATTATTGCCTTCTAAAGGCTACCAATTAAATATTTTGGTTTTTCACCCTAGTTAAGTACTTTAAAGTTCCTCATTCAAATGAATAACAAAGATAAATATATTATCTAATACAAAAAAACCACTGAAATGTGAAATCACATACGGAAAAATTTAAGTTAACTTGAGTTAAGTTGTAGCATCATTGGATGGCATGTTTTATAATAAATAAAACCATATGGAACTCACTGATCACTGACGGTCAACGGCATACTTTTCGAATTGGTATGCGATACGAGATACTCCAGGACTTTTGCGATTTCGTTGGCGTGAGACTTCTGCTCGTTGATCTCATTAAGCTTCTTTGCGATTTCTTCGTTACCGATTGGAACCAACTTCTTAAAAGTCTCACGTTCGTCGTCCTTCAAATTTTCCTTGTTCATTCTGAAATTCGAACAATTGATTTGATTGAATTTTTTGAAATCCTAGAAATTCAAAGCCTATTCCATCAGGGCATAAACGACGTAAGTTCGCTCGAAATAATGTCGTTTTAAATTGAGTTTCTATGCACATATAATAACAGTGGAATTTGATACAAAATGTTTGTAAACTTTTTTGCCCGATGTAGGTATTTATATTTATACATATGTATATTATATATATATATATATATATATATATATATATATATATATATATATATATATAAAACTTTTAATCACTTACCGATTATCACAAAGTTCTATTTGTGCTTGCGGCACAACCAAGACCGATCCTAGAATCCTCTGCCTTAACTTTGCGACTCCTAACCTTACCAAAAGTTACAAGTCCTATTATCATCTCTTTCTATCCTTCGGTCAGCGCACAACGAACAGACCTTTTCAGCGTCAGACCATCTCTCTCTATGTCACAATGCATAAGTTCACTGATGGGGTCTGCCACACACGCACATCAATGCCAATTCACCTTTACGCCAGATGTGCGACTCAGAAAAATCAGAAATATAATAAATTGAAGTAATCCTTTGAAATGCAAATGTTCCTCAGAAATTATTGTTTAAGTCCTGAGCTGCTCACTTTCAAGCGACTTAAGTAAGTTTGCCATTACTAATTTTCAAACGACATTATTTCTCGCGAACTTATGTCGTTTACCACCGACAACGAACTTACATATGTCACTTTATAGGGGTATTCTAGTCTAAAAATTCAAATTTAAAATTCTTATTATTTGAGGAGATACAGCCGATTTTGTGACGTGGCGTCCGAGGCATTATAAATGTTTTTAAACTTTAAACGCGATTTCTCGAAACTAATTTTTTTGAGGTAGTTTACATGATATTTCAAGTTCTGGTTAATGTTGATTAAAAGTATTTTTTTAATATTCGAAAACGTCAAAAAAAATTGGGTAATTACATTTTTTTATTTCAAGTCGACTGCATTTTGTTTTTTTTTTAACCGTTCAACTTGATAGCGGTATCTTTATCAAAGAATTAAAGCGACATAAGTCTGCCACAAGTAGTTTTTAAACGTCATAATTTCGCGCGAACTTATGTTTTTTGCATTAATGTTAAAAGCATTGGATTTAAAATGGCCCACATATATGCATTTTTAATGTTTAATATGTTTTAAATTTAGTTTAAATATTTTAGATATATACCTGATATATTTATAAATTTGATATTTAATTATATTTATATTTTTACTTTTATAAAGTTCCCCTATTAATATTTGTATTCTTGTCATAGGAATAAAGCCTTTAATAGCAAAGAGATAGTCTTGTACAAATAAAATAAATATCTTTATTGTGACATAAAATACTTGGCCTAAAAGCATTTAGAAAAATTGTTAAATTCGTACGTTCGACTCTTACAACATTCAATGTGTTTTTTTTTTTTGTTTTTGCGTGTTTCCTTATGTTTTTGGGCTGCTAAAAAGAAATATAAAACCATCGAGTCGAATTGACCGATGCAGAGATTTGATCTTAGGCTACATTTTTGGTGGAATTATCGAGTTACGAGTAATGATGTATGCTTGGCAAAGTGTAAAGTTAAGGATGTATCCGTTTGGAAAGAGAGAGCCTATCTGTGTGGCTGTGCCCCTCGGATAAGTGCTTAAGGTTTTGGCTTTAAGGCTGTTCAGGATGTTCAGGATGTTACGAGAAAATCATCTGGCAGTGGGTGATGAGCGAGGAAAGCATGAAGATCTCCTCGGTGAGGTTCGTCATGTGCTGGGGCGTGGCAATCAGCGTGGGCGCAAACACCGTGGCCAAATTATGCTCGTTCATCTTGTTCACGGCGTAATGGGAGGCCACGCTGCAGGCGGAAGTAGAAGTATATAAGTATCATTGGAACACAATGGTTACACAGCCAGTTAAACACTCACCGCTTCAGGTGCTCCAGCATGTACTGCAGGCAGCTGTGGTGGGCGGGCGGCAGGCGACGCACTGCCTCGGCCATGAGCTGCCGCTGCTCCGCCTGCTGGCCAGTGCCTGCGATAAAAGAGGTTCAAGATCAAGACAAGTTTGCAAGCCATAGTCCATATTCTGTTGCAGCTACTAACAAAATTAAAAAATTATTTACTACCTGAAGCAGAAAGCTAACTTTTGGGAAAGTTTCATCCATATAGCTTTCAAAACGGAGACTAGTTTACTAAGAAACAGACAGACAGACGTACATACGGACATGGCTAGGATGAGCCTCCTAGGGATGCTGTTTAAGGCAAATGTCACTGGAGTGTCTTCTTAACTTTCGACTAGGGTATTGGCAAGGGTATAAAAATCCAGTTTAGACTCACGTCCTGCTGCCATGAAGCTGGGATACGCCTGGAACGTGATCAGCGGCACGGGTAGCAGGCGGAGATAGAGCTTTAGAGTGCCAGCAATCACATTCACATTGCCGTAGGCTGTTTCCGACATGTCCGTTCGCTCGCCATCCCGATCCAGGGCCAACTTGAGTGCTTCGATCTCGTCCGCGAACCCGGACACCCGGTAGATGCCCTCCTGCAGCATGCCCCTGGCCTCCACCTCCTCCACGCAGCGCCGCACCACGAAGGGTATCTGGTGGTGCGGCTCCAGCTGCACCATGGTGGTCAGATCCGTGCCGAACACGCCGCGTATGCGTTTCAAGTCCGGCACGCACTTGGGCGGCACCAGTTCGGAGCACTTGCTGTGCGCCACGAAGCCGCAGGCCTCGCACTTGACGCCCTGCGCGGTGAATCCCCACAGGAAGTTGGCGCAGAACTCGCACCAGTTGAGCCCCTTGAAGGTGTGCACCTGTTTGCAGGAAGGAACTCGAATTAGTAAGCCTTTAATTGGCCCTTTTAAGCCTGAACGCACCTTGAATTGATGCGGTTTTTCGTACACCAACGGCATGGGATCCACGGCAGGTGGTGGCGGCTCCTTCTCCTGCTTCTGCTGCTCCTTCTCCTGCTCCTCGGCTGGCGGAGATTCCTTGCTGGCCGACACCTTGCCCAGTTCGTTGGACAGAGCCCTCAGCTTCCGCCCGTTCAATGTCATGTAGGGACTCTGCTGGTAGCAGTTCCTGGTCTGCTGGTTGATCTGCTGGATAATGGGGCTGGCGTGGAGCTGCATGTGGAAGTTGATCAATCCATCGGCCACCATGTCGTGGACCGTGTCGAAGCGTTTGTCCTGGCCGCGCAGGTAGTGGCCCACGCCGGGTTTGTGCAGCAGTTTGTAGTGTTTGGGGCGCTTGTTGAACCGCAGGCTCAGGGTGTAGTAGCCATCGGACTGGGGGCTGCGGCGCACAAAGTAACTGCCGTCGCGGGCATTGGCTAGCAGCTGCTCCGCCTCCAGGTGTCCCATCAAGCCATGATATTCGGAGCCGTATAGCCTTCCTGCCAGATTGTTGGCCTCCACGGCCTCCGCCGTACTTTTTGCCGGCGGCAGGGGCAGGGTACGTTGACAGCGCAGGGGACACGGAGCAGGTGCCTCCAACTGGAGCCTGTACACTGTGCGGAGTCACATTATAGATAGTGCGGATCATAAATTCACATGCAATTACTCACATTCCGGCTTCCAAACCTTCTGAACCGGAGAGCTGGGCTCCGGGGCACCGCCTATTCCCACGCCCGCCTCCGTGTTCCGGGGCATCCTCCTCCGGTTTGGCAGGTCAACGAGTCACAAGTCACTCAATAAACGGGCAGTTAGTGTCACGGAATGCGGCTAATTTAATCTAATTTCAATTTCATTATCGCTTTTGTTTTGGCGACCAGGCTTGCCACACTAGCCAAACTTTGGGGCGGTATTTAGCTTGAACAAAACTTGTTGGGTATGGCAGGGTTGCCAGACCAGGAAAACTTAGTGCGGTACTTAACTCCGAAAAATGTGTTAAGTATTTTATTAATTATAAATTCCTGTGATTTTTCTTAGTTGCCTACAATATATTTATATAATTAATTATATTATTATTGTTAAGAAAATATGTATAATTGCTGCGGTGTTCCAAAACCACAAAAAAAAAATGTTCTGAGCTATTAACTCCGAAAAATACCAACCAGGTTAAAATTTTAAGCTTCTATCACAAATTTAAATAATTTTGTTTTATTGTATGCAACCAATCGATATAAACAATTTTCATGCAAATTATTACAACTGCGATGTTGCCAATATCATTTTGAAAATTTTTTCAGAGCAGTTAACTCCGAAAAATATCAACTAGGTGAAAATTATAAGCTCCTATGATTTAATATGGATAAATATTGTAAAATTGATTTATATAACTATTTAATTAAATTAGGTTTAAATAACACAAGCAAACAGTTTTTTACACAGGTCAGTCAGTCTTTTTTCTTAATTGACTAAGCATAAAATTCCCCATGATGGTAATTAAAAAATTTGGTTCAACTTTAATCAGCTATTTAATTGAATATCCCCTCATTTCCGCAAAAAAATAAAAACACCAGCTAAGGTTTCAATTGGTTTAATAGAATTAAGTACGTTTCTTTTGTAAAAAGACCTACACATTCACTTGTTCTCATTTTATTATTTATTAAATACAAATATTAAATTATTTAAAAAAAATAAACATGTAAAACTTCAAAATGCGCATTTAAATTCGGACATACGCCACCGACGCATATCAAATTTAATTTAGAAATACTTTTTCGTGATACTCTCGGTGTATTCTTCCGTTGAAATATATAATATATGTATCGAGTGTGATTGGTACAAAAGAACGCCTGAACTAGGTGATATAATAACTGATTAACCTCGCTTCTTTTTAGAATAATACGCACATTCACAGACGCGGTTTGATTAGTTATGGTTAATCATGAACCTATGTCTACATCGATGGTTAGTTTTGGAAGTGGGAAGAGCTCCAATCTCTAGGTTTTCAGTATTCAGTTTTCTGTTTTCATCTGCCTATAAGGCACTTTCCCCTGTATATTTATATCTCGATATCCTTGGTCGTTGTCCTTGGTTTGTTCGTGGCAGAACAGCATTTATACGGAGGGGCAGAATGGCTAAGTTGGAATCACGGAGTTGGAACTTTTGGCGGAATGAACGGCTCAGCTAGCTTGGCAGGTGTATTTAGTGCTGTGTTTTGTGTTGTGTTGTGTTGGATAGTGTTGCTGCATCTATTGTCGTGTGGTGCTGGATTGCTGGAATCGGGCGGACTTGACTTAGCCGCTCATGACCATGCGCACAAATTCCTCGTAGTTGATGTTGCCCTGCTGGTCCTCCATGTTGGCCAACAGCTGCTCCACTTCCTCGTCGGTCAGCTTCTCACCCAGCGTGGTCAGCAGGTGACGCAGCTCGGCGGAGGAGATGAAGCCGCTGGCGTCTTTGTCGAAGTGACGCAGTCCCTCGATGAAATCATCGGCCGTATCACCGGAACGTGCCTTCGAGATCGCCTGGTAGATGGGCAGAAACACCTCGAACGAGATGCGTTCGTCGGGCTTCAGCTGGTGGGTGCACTTCTTCACGTCCGACTCAGTGGGATTCTGGCCGAGGGCCCTCAGGCATTCGCCAACCTGGCTCAGCTGAATCTTGCCGTCGCCACGATTGTCGAACAGGTTGAACGCCTCCTGGAACTCTGCGAAAGAAAAAAAAGGATGGTTATTAGGAAAGTTGTGTTATTATATATTGTTCAACTATTTCAAATTATGAACTCACACAAAATGGTTATTAAACAACTATTTTTTATGATACTCCAAAATATAATATATAATATTTCTTTGGAGGTATATGTTATTAGGGAACTTATGATTTGATATGGAATTTCAACTCAAAGAAAACCTTTTCAAGTCAGTTGTATTAGTCGTATTTATATAAACGACTTATAGTTTTAGATACTTAAACATATGACTAAATTAATATCATATAGTTTAAGGTATATTGTTCCGCTTTATACTCGTGGGTATAAGGAAAGGTATGGTATGACAACCTTTTCAAGTCAGTTGTGCCTGTAAGTTTTAATTAACTTACTGAACTCACAAAAAAATGATCAATTAATATAAACGAACTAAATTTCGTTTGAGGTATTAACAATAACATTTGTTTAAGGGTTATATCCTCCCGGTATATTGACAAATGGATCACCTTCCAGTGTGGTGAAGGTCTGCTTCACGTGTGCCGTGTAGTAATACATATTGAACCACTCCGATGACCGTTTTGCCAGCTACTGACTGCCTGAAACTCCGTTTGCCCGGATTTGGATAGCCATCGGATCGGCTCCAAAACCCCTACATCCCCACTCCGCCCTCCTTGGAGATGTGATACCCTCACTTTGCGGGAGAACTTCTCTCTTGAAGTCGGGCCACTGTTGACAATTGACATAAACAAACGCAGGAAAACCCAGCTTTGGTTTCGTTTTTGTGAATGAAAGCATGGAACGAAGCCTCTTTTGGTTCCACCGATAACAATTGCAGTCGTATTTCAACAATTGAAGGTGTAAGTTCTTAGGATTGGGGTTGAATGAAGTTACAAGTATATTTAATAAAGTATTTAACTCCACGCTATGAGAAGAATTCGTTTGAAAAGTGTTAAATATTGTGTTAAACTAATATATAAACATGTTAAAGAGAACCTCCAGGAAGTTTTTAAAAACAAAAAAAAAAATTTAAAAATGGAAAAAACCCTAAGTAAGTCTTAGGCATTCACATTAATCCTATATAAATAAGAGTGTTCAGCATTCGATGACCTATACAGATTTCTTGTTAGTTATGTTTGGTTATCATGCGCATACGACATCCAAAAATGGCAATAAAAACAAACGATTCCAGCACATTTTTGTCCATTTTAGGCGATGACAAAACGGCGACGACTGGCGATTTGAGACTAAAGCTCTAAAGATTGCAACGCCATGCCGACAAGGTAAGTTGGAATTGGAAAATACATATGGTATATGGTATATGGCATACGTACACGGTCGACTGCGGTCGAAAGCTGACGTCAGAGTGTCAGCTTGGATGAATTATCAGAGACCAATGACTTTGATTAAGTTATCACGGGGGATTGCGTAAAGATTCGATTCGGTTCGATTTGATTCGTTATGGAATCGGAATGGAACTTGGAATCGTGTTGCATTTTGACCCAGAGAAGGTGATATTCCGTAAATGGAACCTGGTTTGTTTATTTGGAGCTGGTTTTTTGACAGCCTGGCTCTCTTATCGCTCGCTTTTCGCAACTGCAATTGCAGTTTTATTTGAAACGAGCTGACGGCGGGTCGGAAAACCGGGTGATTATCCCATTAGCCAGCTCCCATATCTATATCTTATCGCTCACTTCCTTTCGCCTTTTAACAGTTGTTTTTCTTTTCATTTATACCCTTTCAGAGGGAGCTATGCTTTTGCCAAGTCTTTTTATTCTTAATTATTCGAGTTGATCTGTCTGTTTAGTTTATCATCCTACAAATATATTAAGAATCATGTACATATTCATTAAAATTGGAGGACAATCATTTAGCTTACACGGGTTCTATAGCTTAAAAGACTCTAATCGAAGTTTGTTGCCCATAACTTGGTTGTTTTTAGAGATAATGACATGATTCCTAGCATAATTATATATGTCATACACCAAGAACTTTAATAACTTGATTGTCATTAAAAAAAAACTTGGTATGCAGTGCCTATTTGCTACTATACACCCAGAACTTCCTAGGATTCTTAAAGACGTGTCTGTTGAGATAATGTAAGAAAACTTTGTTTGCAGTGGATTGAGGCGATTCCATGAGGACTTATCCATTGTAAGCAATATATCCAAGGGTATCATAAACTTCGGCTCGCAGAAATCCCCGTGGCATTGCTGATTTGTAGTGTTTTTTTGGCGGGTGAGTCACGATCGTATTCGTATGGCTGCTTTCCAGCGTATTTGCTTTATCAATGATTCATGTATATGAATACATATATATATGCCGCATTCGCCGATTTAAAGCTGTGTAACACTTACACACACACCTTCGTGCGTTCGCTTTCACACTCCCGCATTCCAATGCAGAGTGGGAGGGAGAGGGCGCGATGTGCCAGCGCATATATGACGATATATGCCAATAATACCGTTTAATGACCGATTTTTGACCTTTCTTTTGGAACACTCACCAGCCAATTGATCCTCGGTGTAAGCTGCCTGCATCGGAAAAAAAAAAGAAAAACAAAGAAGAGAACTTGAGTGCTCCGTTCACAACACGCCCAAAATAAGGCGCTCCGAACAACAATAAACAATAAACAACAACAAACAGTGCTGCATTAAACACTTTGCGCTCACCATATCGATTTGTTTTTAGCTAGCTGGGGGAAAACAACACAAAAACACGGGATTAATTCGACGACGAAGCAAATTTATATGGTATAAGTGTGACCGTAGAAAAGTTAACGAAATATGCCTTCTGGTTTTCAAAAATATACTTTTCATACCATTTTCATTTTGTGAATATACCATTCGATGCGGGTGTGGTCAGACTATGGTTTAAAGATTACACTTGTACTAAATAACGAAATAGATTATCGAATATTAAAAAAAAAAATTAATTGTATTATTCCTCATGAACCACGTTTTATTTCCTTAAGACATTTATCAGCTCCCCTCAGTTCAGTAACAAGGTACAAGACAACTTGATTTCTTAATCAATATGTCAAACACATAAAATCAAATAACAAAGATTTTAAAGCGTTTTTTCTTTGTTATTACAACGCTTTTTTTAAACTTTCGTTTGGTCATAATTTACGCCACATTAATAGGTTCCTCCACTTCTGAAGAATTCGCAGTTCATTAAATTCTCATCTCTGATTACA